TGTGTGTGTGTGTGTGTGTGTGTGTGTGTGTGTGTGTGTGTGTGTGTGTTGTTTTTTGCAAGGGTTGAAAAATGCTGATATCTGTGTGAAATTAGGGACAGCATTTTATTTAAAATGAGGATCACATTAAACCCATGTCTGGTTTACTTTGGGCTCAGACCTCTGATCAGAGTTAATAAGTCAGGTTTGTCATGGTCTGTGTTTCTTTTTTCTTAGTTTTTCCAGTGTTTCTGTGTTCCTTGTGTATTTTTGCCCTACTGTCAATCATCCCAGCCCCACCCATGCCCACCTTTTTTCCTCTTGTGTCTCAGCCAGGTGTTCATCGATGTCTCTCATTAGTTTCCCTTTATATTTGGTGTCTTGTCTTCAGTCTGTGTCTGATCATTGTGCTCTCTATCCCAGCCYGTGTGGTTGTTCTCGTGTTCCTCGTGCTTTCTTCTGAGATTTTCTTGTAAGTAATTTTGAGCTGCCTCGCCAGCCTTTTTTTCTTTAAATAAACACCTCTTTTGCTTTTTGTAGATTTTTACTTGTGCCCTGGGTCATTCTGCCAACACACCTCACAGGGTTGAATCAGGTTCGAACACTGTCTTCAGGTCCGGGCAGGGTGGGTTGGATTGTTTAGGCCTGATCTAAACTCTTCTGTTGGTAGCATGATGTACTTTCCTTATATATCTATATATTTAAAAAGTGTAGTCAGGTTTAAAAGAAAGACAAAGTACTCCTACCATTGGACTATTCTCAGTTGGACATCTTTAAAAAACATTGATGAGCACCTCTTCCATTGCCCAACAGTTTGAACAACAGTTTGCCTGAAACTCCTTGACATCCTGAGCATTTGTAGCCTCAACAACCTCCTCCCTTTGTTTCCTCAACTGTTCCAGCCATGACTTMCTTTGTCGGCTTATTCCTGTCAGCTAATGCTGGAATCCCACAAGCTAAAAACACTCACTTCACCTCAGGTGTCCACTTCTGAGTTCCACCATACAAACTCAAGATTGTATTGCGGAAACAGCAGTGGCAGCCCAGAACATGATCCATTTAGACTCCATGTTGCACACCTCCCTCATACTGAAATAAAARCATGTGGTTAAGAGATAAAACATTTTCTGGTCTGAGTCCAATATTTGATGACACAATGACAAAACTGACCATCAGCCTCTAGTCCAGGATGTAATGGTAAGGATAGCAAAGGAGCAAAAAAAAAATTCCAGTCAGATGGAGATCACATTAAAAATACGTGCCAAAAAATCGGATTTAAAAAAAAATCTGAATTAAGCATCAAGACCTGCAGTGTTAACGTTTCCTATGTTACCTTCAGTTGTTATGAAAACGCTGTATTTATCAGAATAACTTTGACTTTACATCATAGTTTATCTAAAGGCCTTGAAGGGASGGGCTTTGTAAAATAGGTAGAGCTTTGTACCAGCAAGTGTTCAGGCAGCTCCACATGGCTACCACAGGAGATTCAAGGATTTCTTAAACATGCATGAACGAGTCAACGCAACACTTCAGGATGTTTTTGATTTTGCAATTTATTAAGGAATGCACAGTAAATGTAGGGGTGTGTGGCTTAAACAGTGTTTTGTGTGCGTGTGATTAAACAATAGCATAGACATATTTGCATGAAATCTGGTTGTTTTAGTGAGGCTTATCCTGAAATAGATTTTACCCATATATCTTTAAAGTTCATTAGTATTTAAAATACCTGGTTTATTCCTGTTTAGTCCCCTAAATTCCTTTCAGCTRTGTTGGAAACATGTTTGAATCAAAGCCCGAATTAATGCAGGAAACCAGTTCAGTTAGCAGACTTGAAGATCTAAGTGAGCCTGTCACTAATTTAACCTCACAATAAGTGTGACTCTGAAATTCAATTAATCAATCACAAAACATCCTGATGACGTATGCACTTACAACTACGTGAACATACGCAGTGGACATTATAACCAAACTAACACACCTTTCTAGTTCAAATTGGGTAGATTACACCACTCTAGGTTATACTTTCATTGCTTAATTGGGAAATAAAGTCCCCAGCAGGATGTAGATTTTTCAGCAATTTGCCTAAAAACTCTTCAGAATATTGGATTCCTTTAACTGCTGCGACTAGGTGCAAAAGCATTAAGGACAGCCGGAGCTCTTTCAGTCACTTAAAGGGAGAAACAGCCTCTCATTCACTGAGGAAAACTCAGTGCTTGGTGAAGGAGACAAGTAAGTCCATCCCAGCATTGTTGCCTTTCACCAGGGGCAACTCCACGGTAGAAAAGAGACCACCTCTCTCTAGGAGATATGCAACAAAATTATAGCTTTGTTTTGTTTTGCTTTTTGTTTTTTTTTACCTGCATTTTGTTCTGCTCATTGATGACACGTTTCCCCAACCTGTTGCTGTTTAATGCTGTATTACAGCATTAAAAGTTGGCACTGAAGCCTCACAACAACCAAGGTCAAATGATTGAGACTTTCACTGAGGTCGATCTGGGTGAAGTTGATTGTTCTCTCGTGCATGGGTTGGATTTGTCGTGGCACTTTTAAAACATGTCGTAACTGTTAGGTTTACTGCAGATTCTAAATGACCCTTAGATGTGAGTGTGAGCGTGCACGATCGTGTGTCTCTGTGTTGGCCCTGTGATGGACTGGCAGCCAGCCCAGYGGTGTTCCCCACCTCTCATCTGATGACCACAGGAGATAGGCAGCAGCGCCCCGTGACCCTGAACAGGATTAAGCGCGTGTATTAAATGGATGGATAGACAGATGTGGTGGTTTGTCAAAATCACTACGACATCTGAAGAAAGGTCTGCTTCGCTGTGAGCAGAAGACTTTTAGAAATATRTAATCATGCACACAAATAACATACATATAACATGTATTTTAGAGRTTTATCTCTATACTTAAAGCAGTTTAAATAGTGTTTAACAGTTTATGTAAGGAGAAGAACAAAGAGCTTTTTCAGGGGGTCCATACAAATAAAGGAAACTATTCTGTTTCATAACCCATGTGTTTTTCTCTCTCTTTCTCTCTTTAGCACACACAAACACAAACATTACTACTAACTAGGGCTGCCACAAACGATTATTTTAATAATTGATTAGTCGTCGATTAATCGATTAATCGTGGCAGCCCTACTACAAACAATAACATGGGTCCCTCTCTTTACATTGACAATATGACTCACAAATTGGAAATGCTTTCAGCAAACTCAAACATACAAGATATCTATGAGTGACATACCCTGGAGATTTAATTAAAAATATTCTACTTTTAATTTATTAATGATTTTACAAAAAGAGTATCCAAACTAATGAACCTTTTTCCAGTTACTAATGCGCATGCTCAGTGTCAATATGTTGCCATGCATTGCAGTTTAGATATGTATATTCATGCCTTGTTTCTGGTTCATTGAAATATATATAGTCTAAACAGTGTATTGTTTTTCTTGTTTGTTAATGTCCTCAACAAGTAATGTTGAGGACATTAACAAACAAGAAAACAATAAGTTATCATAACATAAATTACCATCCATCCATCCATCTATTCATTATCTATATCCGCTTCTTCCTTTCAGGGTCACAGGGGTCACTGGTGCCCATATCCAGCAGTCACTGTGCGAGGGGCGGGGTACACCCTGGACAGGTCACAAGTCCATCACAGGTATAAAATACCAATGAAACAAATTTATAAATGTAATTGTATATAGAAGTCAATAGAAAAGCAGGTGTAAGAGAGAAATGGACTGGAGTTGAACGCAGACCTTGAATACCAGAAAGACAGAGCTGTGACTATATTTGTACATGTGATGCCTGATTTTACACATGTGCATCAATAACTGTAAAAAGGTCAATAATTATGTGTCTTAATTTACTCCAATCACACATCTTTCAACGCCACATTCAGTGACTTGTCAATCAACTGGAGTGGCCAATCAGGTTRCAGGGATGGCAAGTGCCAACGTCGGCCACCCATCTTTGTCCGCGCCTCATGTTTCAAGATATCGTGTGTCAATCAGCTGCAGGGCAGTAGCTGTGCTTCTTTGGTTTCATTCTCACTGCATTGACTGCACCTGTAATCTTATTGGTGAAAAACAATTAGTTTTTCAAACAACAAAAGCCAACAAAAGTGTGTACAGCCCATTAAATGTTACACAAATGGAGCTTCAGTCAACAAATGTTCAGTTTTCATTTGCACTTTAAAAATAATCTGAGAGGTAAGCAGATTTTTTTAAACAGCATACAGACATAAATTGCAAGAAATTAAAAAAACAAGTCGCACTGAATTTTCCTATCCACAACAACAGATTAATTGTGAAAGTGATGACACTGCATTTATGTAATTATGTGAATGTTTTGACTGAGCTACATGAATACATGGAGGAGAGGAGTTTATCAACATTCAAAAAGTTCATATACTGTAATGCAGCTGTCATGCAACGTCTCAATAAGATTCTATTTAAAATAAATCTCAATCTCCAATTCTAAAAACGTCCATGGTGGGGTCTGAGAGTCCATAACAGAGTCACAGAGTCCATCACAGTGTCTGAGAGTCCATCACAGGGTCACAGAGTCCATCACAG